TCTAGAAACATCGCTGTTTTCGATCGCCGTTATACAAAGTTTCATAACATGATGCAATTGCTAATGAACGCGGATAAAATCGCGGCCACGACGTCACTCGTCGACGACCCCGAGCGAAACGCATTCGCGTTGATCTCGTCCTCGACGCACTCGTGTTTGCCGCGAGGGAGGGCTTTAGACTGGACGCGCTTTTGGACGATCGAAATCACAGTGCGATTCGCGTTCACAATAGTCGCGATTCCTTGCAAGTAGAATCCGCCGCCGTTAATTTTGTCCGCCGTACTCGGGGGCCGACGCTATTTCGCAGACTCTTCATCTACCCAGTTGGAGTTAACTTTGTCTTGCGCTCTATTCAAACAGCATCCACGGCGTCGGGCGGTCTCGCCTACTCATTAGCGTCCTCCCGTCCGTTACTACTAATGTACAGGAGTCGGCCAACAAATTTACACGGCGGATTGCTGGGAGTTACTCATTAGAGCGCCAATGCGCACAATGTAAAATAGCAATTCCGCAAACTTCGATACTAATTACACTTTTCGTAGTCACTCTCGTATGCATTTCGCGCGATATAAAAAGTATAGTAACGCCTTTATTTCATTTTTAACAATCTTCATATAAAATATAGCTCAACAAAAAAATAACCAAGATAGATAGTAATTATTTTTATAGTTTTGCTGAATTCAATTTTTTTCCTTAATTTTTTTTACGATAGATTAATGCTCTAATGAAAAAGAATATATCGATATTTTGATATAGCGGTGTTGTGGTTTAAATTCAGATTATAGATCGACGATTTGCCTGATGCTTGAAAAATGTTGCATTATACATATATATTTGCCTCTTATCGATATTTTAGTCCACTTCGGATTCGTATCTTTTGTAATAAACTTGGCCTATAATGCGAGATACTTTTTACATACAATTTATCATCGTGAGAAATTTATGATATAAGAAAATGTGCAAGAAAATGATAGAGGCACAAATGACTAAATTAAAAATAAGAACTTTTACCTGGCAAACGACAAATCCAGATTCGATTCAACAACTTGCACTCTGATATCTTTTTTGCATATATGTCAAAAATTTTAAATGATGATAGTTCGCGAATAAAGTTTTCGGATCGTACAAGTGAAGATATATAGGTCAATAATTTTTAAAGCTTCTAGTGAAAGCTCGCACTCTCTCTGACCTGAATATACTTATTTAGATTTTAGAAAGTAGTTAATCTAAATTTTATTTATTTTATTTATCTTAAATTAATCTAAGTTTATTATAAGAAATAAAAATCTGAAGTCAGAATGTATTTAGTATAAAAGTATTTTTGGTATTAATATTTAAAAGCATATGAATTACAATTAACTATACCTTAGACTTTTATTGATTCTTTATTGTTGCAATTGATTGTAAATCTAAAACCCTTTATATACCATTTTTTTAATCAAATTTTAATAAATTATATTTATTTCGTAAATTTTAGTGATTTTCGCAAAATTAATTAATAGAATCTGAATAAAAAAATGAATATGTTATTTTACATTACTTAAGATACAATAATTGATTTTCTGCATAATGCTACATCTTATAAAAAAGATATATGTACTGAATTTGTAAGTATCTTTTGATATCTCTTGTTACGCAAGACAAAGTTTAAAAGACGCCTTGAATAGAGACAATTTAACATGCATCTTTCATGCATATGTCACGTTAGGACATCTTCCTGTCTGGAATGACACATGTTGCTGCTCAGGCTCACGTTGAAGGGGGATTGTTTTGCATTTTTCGCGAGGCGGTAAAAAACGGAGAAGCGAAGCGAGACCGCATTCTCTCTGTTTGGGTCCATCTATGTAACATTATTCGCCCGGATACGTGGCGGATACGCTCTGTTTTTATTCGGTGCGTGCCACCCACACACAACCAATACATTTAATACGTACAATCTTTTTGTCTGTAACTTTGCATTAATCCGGAAACGTAATAAAGCGAGATACGCGAATAAACATGGAGAGTAACGGGCGATGTGGCGCGGCGCGGACTCACCAAAAACTACCAACGATAGCTGCGGGATATCCGGGGCAGAAGTAGGCAGCCGGGATATGCAAACGCGCGACCGTAAGCCCCGGTCGGATTAAGCACGGACGTATTTTCAATTCGCGATAGCAATAAGTTCAACCTCGTCCGCTCGTTCGTTACTCAGCCGCTCTATCTTCTCCTCTAACTCTCTTTCGTTCTGTTCTCCATCCCCTTTCTCTTTAACCCTTTTTTTTTTGCACTGCGATCTCGTTAGTACCGTTTTTATTCCGTCGTTCCCTGCCTCTTATCCAAACTGTATCGAATTCTTTCGCGATCGTCGGCAATCCCGAGGAATGATTGTATTTGACGGCCATCGGTATTCTTTATTGGCATTATTTACAGTTCGTCTGTCTAAGCAATTTCAGGCTTTTTTATATATAAGTATGTGTGGGGATAGTATATTATAAACGTTTATTTTTATCGTAGAAATATAGTAATTATCAGAACGAAAATTATTAGTATTCTTTATAATATCGAATAAATTGCATACTAATAGATTATTTGTCATTGTATTATCGGTTTCTTGTAATAGTCTATTTTCTCCTTCAGCAAGCTTCAATTAAAATTTTATTTCACAAAATAAAACGAGATGAGGTCTTATTCCTTTTTCGCTCAAGATACGGATTTATTATGAGAAAATTGCGCTAAATTCTCTGACCGAAAAAGTATAATATAAATCAAAATACGCCATAAAATAATTAAAGCGCTTTTATTATGTTTCAAACTAAACATAATATGCTATGAATAATATATTTTCTAAAAAATCTCTTTTGCTCGATTTTATGTTATTTCAATTATCAGTTTAACGTAAAATCTGAGGGTTTAGTCGAATTAAATAAAATTATTCAGTTTAATAAATTATTCTCGCTATTATTTATAAATATGTAATGCGTCTCGTAAAATGTGTAAAAATTATTATTCTAAAAAAATTTGGAATGAAAGTAAAAAATGCATTCGCCAAATCTATGGAAGCATTATTTGTATAAATCTCGTTCGCGTCATCCATCAGACATCTATTAGACCATCGATGCCATGTGATCGTGACGCATTCGCATGCTCGTTGAACGCTCAGTGGGTTATCTAATGGACACTGACGCACTTTTTCGCACAACCCTTCGTTCGTCATGACTATCCGTCGAGCGCATACAATACAACCCGCGAAAAAGCTGACGAACGTTTATACAACGTGAGAAGAATGTTGCTGCTAGTCACGTCTTTTCCCCTAGTCCACTCACGTAATAACGGCAAAGCAAAGAAAAAAAAAAAAAAAACGCGCACGCGTTGCTTTATTCGTAATAACGAAATAATAAACATGAGAAAAAGAGGAGGCGGAATAAAAGGGTCGACTCCCTGTAATAAGCGCCATAACGTTATAACAAGGGATGGAGAAAAAGAAAAAAAAAGATAATATTAATATTTCATTAATTTGCAAAAACTGAGAGCGCGTGTGAGCGCAGATTTCGTCCTTTTCATTATAACAAAAATTACTAAGTACAAACAAAATCATGGGAATAAAATATGACGTTCACACACAAAAGATATTGAGGATCAACTAATGATATTTCGAGCACACAGTGTTGAAGATCCGAGAATTGAATGCGTTTAAGACGGAATTACGAAGTCGCATTTACCGTATAAACACAGAATTACATGATGCGAATATGCAACACGATTGTATAGACATTCGAGTACTGGCGGCTTATGCCGGTAATCTTGCTTTTAGCATCAATATGCCGATTGAACATGGCAGGTGAGATTGTAGCCGGTAGATTAAGGTTAGCGAAGGTGAAGGTAATGGTGGACGCGGCGAAAAGGAAGGAAGAGAGGAAAATTTTTCATTGGAGTCAAAAGTTCGGCGTACTGAAAGTTTAATTCCGGACTCTCCCTGAGCGCGATGGTGTGCGAGTTGAATGAAAAATCTCTCCTCTGCCTCTACACTATCTATGCCAAGGTACGTTTGTCCCTATCTCCCCCGCAGCCGGCCCTTCGTCGTCGCGCTCGCACTTTTTTTTCGTTCCCCGGCGTAGCCGAAGAAAGACGTTCCTTTGCCGAGCAGTTGACGATTAAATTCGATGGAAAGATGCCGGGGTGTGGGTGATTCGACCGAGACTTATTTCGCGGTTGAATCGAGCGACTATATCGGCACTTTCATCCACGTCGTCGGGATGTCAATACCGTCACTTACCGTGACGCTTTTGCGAGAGGCAATTTAATGTCGCGTAAACATTGAGCGTACGCTCCGCTCACGAGGCTTTTAAGTAACTGACTTTTGTCCAAGGTGATGGATTTCTCATTGAAACCTACATTTCCAATATCGAGAACTAATATTTTCACTTTTATTATTATTTATACATTATTCTCGCGAGATTTTTTAATTTGCATTTCTATTTGACAATCAATTATCTCCCACGTTCGTATGTCTTAAAAAAATATTTGCTAATATTTCCTTGAAAGGAGTTATGCTAATACGATTGCAAAGATGAAAGAGGGAGGGCAAGAGCGTTTCACGTTATTATCGCGCTGGCAGTTAATTCTGCAATACCTCGAGATTAGGCTAAAGATTAATGTTTAACTCCATTTTGTCTGTGCACTATTCAATACTTGGCTCAATTAATCAACGTGAAACGCCCACCAGACCTTAATCTATGAGAGGCGCGGTTCGGAGCTAGCGCGCCACTGCCCTCCCCGAGGCTATCAGGGTGTAGGTTTTGCGGCAATACGTTCAGGGTGGTAACTGTAGCGTGGTACCACTCGTTTAAAACGCATTAGGGAGCGGGCGAACGGTGCAAGTCCGTGGCCGCTCTAAGCACCGCAATTCCGCAGCTGCCGCAATTCTTGTTCGTGCTTTTTGATCGGGCGTCCATCAACGTCCGCGCGCTATTCACGTGGTCCACTCTTGTGATCGACCTCGATCCTCTTCCGTGTTTCAGTGAGGCCCCTGAGCGTGATGATACTCAGCAGCGAACACGCGCCCCTCAGCGCGAATCGGAAATACGACATCATCTGCATGACAGTCGGTTCAAGGCCACCGGCTGAGCTGTTTTGGTACATGGATGGCAAGAGGCTCGACAATCACACGAATAAGGTAAGACTTGTATAAGCTGATCGAACGGTACGTCATTAAGATCCGTCACCGTGCGAGAAGGATATGTCTCGTACGAGGAAAAAATATTTTATATGGGAGAAGTGACTCTCGCGCGGTTGTTAAAATTGCATGAATACACGATATTGTACGAATGTGTAAAGTACAGTTTAAATATTTTTCCTCGCTATGTATCTTTCGTATCTTATAAACATAATTAACACTCTTCCAAGAAAAAAAATAATTTTTTTCTTAATTTCTCTTCAAAGCATTTAAAAAGGTTTGTTTGGCAAAAATGTCAACTCATATTTTTATCTGGGATGATTACTTTGTTTCTGCACGTGCGATTTCACACAAGTGTAACTGTTTCGAGTGCCAAAAATACGATATTCGATATTCGTTTTCGATCCTATTGATAAAATGCTACACGAGTGAAATTAATGCGTGACAACCGTCATAGGCGAAATGCTAGAAAGGGAAACAAACGACGCGAACCGTAAAATAATTTTCTATTCTGCGCTTTTGCGTGGAAATGTAGAGCGAAAAAAAAAACAGAATGATACATCGTAGCCTATATTTCCTCGTCGCCACCTAACTCGCTAATGTTATCATCGATACCGAGAGACGATCGATCTCCATTATCTCCGCCTCGCATCACGATCTTTTATCTGTAATATGACGTATTTCGAATCTATGAAATTCTTATTCGGCGGAACTCTAATATCTCGTCTTAGGGATGAGTCACGCCAACTTGTCGTCGCGAGATGATTCAACGGCTTAAAAAAAACACGTCCCGCGTCGCGCGTGTTCGTCGTCGTTTTCTGCGGGACGCGATATGGAAAAAACAAACGGATTCCATCAAGACCCAAAAAAAACGCGCGATCCGAGGGACGTACGCGGCATCTCCTTCGAGATGCCCGTTTCTCCACGAAATCACTGACATTAGCGCCGGTATCGGTATTTGCATCGTTGCCATTAAGCACCCCCTCCGACACGCCATGGCGCAATTACCGGATAGCGGCGATGCTTTCGTGATCTCTCGCTCTCGCTCTTGCAATTCGCCCTCCCCCCCCCCCCCATCCTCTCCCCCCCCCCCCCCCCTCGTCTCTATCTCGCGTGCGCGTCTCCCCCGCTCTTTGATCCTAACATCACGAGGGAACTCCTTCGTATATACGTATTCGAACTCTCGGGCGAACCATCGATCTACGCCCGTCTTGCGTTTCCGCGGCGCAAACTCTTCCTGAAACGTGATTCTTTGACCCAACCGCCCCCAAATTGCATCTCGAATCTCGATGTACACGCCGCTCGAGAACGCCGTCTCGCAACTGCCGCTTGTAAGAGTTTTTTAAAAGAGTTTTTCTCTTTCGGTTCCAACGGTAAACGTACGCGATTGAATCCCATTGTACAAAGAATCGACTCATTATACGAATAAACGGAAAAGATTAATCGATTTTCTTTTAGAAGAGAAGAGTATGATACCAAGATATATATATGTATCGGATAAGAATATACTCAGACTACATTTCTTCAATTTTAACAAGTTTAACTGCAATATATATCTCGTAATGTCACAATTTTATATGAATATACAATGCAATGTTTGATATGTTTTAGTCTACGCAGCCAAATACTTTTGCTCTTTCTGCTCAAATTAATTGTGTAAATTGAGCGATATGTGATAGATGTGAATTTGAGACGTTTGACATTAAGGAGATCCATCTGATCTATAGGAACAGGACAAAGTTATCTAATATAGACGGTACATACGTAACTATGGAGCGATGGACACCATCCATCATCCGACGACTTGTCAATAGTTCTATGACAGACTCGAATGTTAGGAGAGATATACAGCATGCTGAATATAGAACAATACAAGCGCGCGATTATATTTCTATCTGCCATAATCTTTTATTTTTGCTTCTTACTCTCTATTCGTGTCATGCTTACATTTTTAGCACGCTAGTATGTAAGATGGTTTAACCCAGATTTAAATCATCAGTTACATAAACCTTGAATGATATATATATTCTCTCTAAATTTTTCAGACTCTCTCTATAATCGTTTCTTCAAAATACTAAAAAAAAATCTCTTCAATTAAAATTTACCAAGTTTTTATTAGGAAAAGATTACACTCTTGAATTTTATTGGAACATAAAACTCACTTGATTACGTTGCAATGATGACGAAATTTCCATCGTATTTGAACTATGATAAAGCATTAATCTTTATATTTATTGAGTCTTTTTCTATCTGAAAATCCGTCTAAAATACATCTCGACGAAATTGGAACGAATATTGGAAAGCTAACTGTATTTATTCCAACTATTCTCTTCGTTTATCGTCTTATCCATGATTCTTTGGAAGAATTCGATTTCACGCGTACTATTCGGATATTTTCCTCTATAAACATTTTCATTTTGCGATTAAATTCACGTGACAATTTGTGTGATATTATAGGTACAATGATAATAAAATATGCTGATTATTTGATTATAGAAATTTGTAATAAATTATGATCGAAGAAACCATAAAGATACGTTGACCTTTGCGTGCAGGAATTTCGCGTAACGCCACGCTCTCACCGGCCATCCCGGTGCATAATCGAGATGCAGTAAAACTTTCCGAATGAAAAATGAGCGCGGGTACGCACGCGGGCCTCGCTGCCATCCGTACGCGTGAATTTTGCAATAACGCCGATTCGATCGATCTCTCGCGCGCGCGCGCTTGTGATCGACGATGATCCGCTACAGTGGCGGAGAGATTCAAAGAGCTGATATTTTCCGCCGCAAATAACGATCACGTTGTTGGCCGGTGCCAGGCAGGCGGCGTCCAGTTCTGACACGTTCGCGCTATCTCGCGTTATACGTCATAATATCACGGTGTCGAATGAAGCTCGGTACCGGTAGACATATCGAGGCATGGCGAACAGAGAGAGAGTGAGAGAGAGAGAGAGAGGACAGAAAAACACAGGGGCGAAATGGAGGGGATTGGAAGAGAGGGTGGATTGTGAACAGTATAGTTGGCAGTGGGTGATTCGACTTTGCCGATTTATGACCGCCGCGCGAATTTCGGGCCAATTTCGTTCCGGGCTCCGCCGCCCCCGCATACGTACACTGCGGTGCAAAAGTTTCAATCTGCAATCTGTATTGTTAAGAAATTCCGTATTTTTTGGGAAAAGCGTTGAGAGAACTGCAGTAACAATTGTAATTGTAAATATACTCTTAATGAGATTAATTAAATTATATGCTATAAATTTAAGATAAGATTACATTGTTGTATTCTTTCTTTTCTTTCTAGGATATATTTGCGCTTTTCTATCGCGTCATTATTACGACTTACACTTTTTTTTTTTAATTTGATTGGCGGGAGGGGAAAATGCCTAACGCACCGTACCCCGGAACGGGCCCCGGGGCGTGTGTGGGGTTTGCACCCACTAAAAACCCCCCCAGCAGATCTGATCTGCCTCAGTTTAACCAACGTCTCCATTCGCACATGAACATAGAGCCGTTTGTCGAATGACTCATACTTACTACTTACCAATACTTCTGCGAAAGTACCTGAAATGTTGTGTGGCTTTTTAAAAATGTATTAACATGATTTTAATCGCGCTCTTAAGGAATTTGTACGGTGGCAACTTTAATATTTTTAATGTAATGAGATATGTATATAGTTCATTAATCGCAGCATTGTTATTACATGCATGAAACCATCGTTTCTTTTCTTATTCTTATAAAATGCGAGAACTTGTATTATATATATATATATATTATATAATACATTTGTGATAAATTCTCTAAATCAATACAAATTTTACTAAAGCTGCGTGAAAAATAAAAGTGTACGTGTTTTGTCTTTCGACCCAATTTAGCCATATTCTACAAGCAACAAAGTAACAACACAAGTTATCGCGAATAACAGTTGTTAGGAATATTTTATCAAGAAAACGATTAAATTCGTTACAAATGAAAAAATCGAAAAATTTTCATTAATCGAGTTACAAGTGCAACAGATCTCTTTTATACAAAAGCACATTAATGTAGACTTTTGATTTGAAAGCTGCTAATTTAGAGCCATTCAATTAGCTTTGAGAAATCCATTAGCCTGACCAATATCGAGTGACGTGATAAGATTGCAAACATGATTATCAGATAATTTGTTGTCACTTTCGTCATTGCTACATGAATTTATCGCAGTTTCAGTAAGAGAGAAAGAGAGAAAGGGAAA